CTTTGAAGACTAAGGTGAGCTTGACCCAAGACATGGTATTTTCAATTACTTCATATGCATGTGGAATCTAGGCAATAAATAAGGAAGACTGGGGAAGAACTAATATATTTTTATTGTGGTGTTGGCAAAGAATATTGATTATACCGTGGGCTGCCAGAAGAATGAATACATCTGTCTTGGAGAAAGTACAGCCAGAATGCTCCTTAGAAGAGAAGGTGGTGAGCTTTCATCTCAGTACTTTAAACATGTTGTCAGGAGGGACCAGTCCCTGGAGAAGGACATCTTGCTCAGTGAAGCAGGGGAAGAAAGAAAGAAAGAGAGAAGGAGAGAGAAAGAGAGAGAGAGAGAGAGAGAAAGAAAGAAAGAAAGAAAAAAAGAAAGAAATCCACCACTTGTCTGCCGGTTTGCTGTACTGTGGTGCATGGTGTGTTGTGATGATTCTGGAATCTATGCCACCGGTATTTAATCTATGCCACCAGCAGGGTCACCCATGGTGGGTAGGTTTCATATGAGCTTTCAGACTAAGAAAGACTAAGAAGAAGGAGAGACGGACTACTTCCAAATATTCAGTCACTGAAAACCTTACGAATAATAGTGGAACACTGTCAGATAGCATCAGCATATTGAATACTGAAATATGATGAAGAACACCAGAATATTGTCAGATATAGCACCAGAAAATGAACCCTTCAGGTTGGAAGGCACTCAAAATACAACTGGGATAGAGCTGTCTTTGCAGAGCTGACCTTGATGACTCGAATGGAGTAAAGCTTTCAGAACCTTCATTTTGCTGATAGGCACAGTTGAAAGTGAGGAGAAACAGGTGCAATTATCCATTAATGATTGGAATGTGGAATGTATGACATATGAATCTAGGAAAATTGGAAGTTTTAAAAAATGAAATGGAACACATAAACATTAATATCCTATGCATTAATGAGTTGAAATGGACTGGTATTAATCACTTTGAATCTGACAACCACATGGTTTTCAATGCCAAGAATCACATTCATCGCAAAAAAAAAAATTCAATATCTATCTTGAAATGTAATGCCTGTAATAGGATAATATCCATAAACCTACAAGGAAGATCAGTTAATACTACTTTCATTCAAATGTATACAATAACTACCTAGGCCAATGATGAGGAAATTAAGGAATTATACCAACTTCTTCAGTCCGAAATTGATCAAACATGCAATCAAGATGCGTTGAATATTACCAGTGATTAGAATACAATAGTTGGAAACAAAGAGGAAGAATCAGTACTTGGAAAATAGGCCTTCATAATAGAAGTGATGCTGAAGATCACATGATCGAATTTTGCAAGTCCAATAAATTCTTCACTGCAAAATACCTTTTTTAAATAACATAAATGATGACTAAACACTTGGACCTCACCAGATGGAATACACAGAAATAAAATTGACTGCATCTGTGGAAAGAGATAGTGGAAAAGCTCCACATCACCATTAAGGCAAGTCCAAAGACAGACTGTGGAATAGACTATCAATTGCTCATATATAAGTTCAGGCTCAAGCTGAGGAAAATTAAAATAAGTCTGCAAGAGCCAAAATATGACCTTGAATTTATCCCACTTGAATTTAGAGATCATCTCAAGAACACATTTGATGCATTAGA